TACTCAGGCCGTCACGAGCCGACTTGCGTTACGTTACATAGCAGACAACCTCCACTTCCTGAACCCTGCAGCTCAGTTCACCAACGGTAAATGTGTAGCTTTCACCCAATGATGATTAAGTTGTCTGTGTGTGAGCTAAACCATGATGGAGGTTCACTACACCCCCCACCACTCACTCACCTGTATCACCTGCCCTCAACACACACGTAAACATGACCACGTGTTCGTACCACATGTAAGCACAGGTGGAGCTCGTGGCAGCAGCCGTCACCTGGTTCATTGACCAGACAGGTACGCGTGCAGCCAGGTGGGGACCCCGCTACACTGTCCACCTCACTATACCGTCCACCTCGCTATACCGTACTTCTCACTATAACACCACAACACTGACTTATCCACACACTATAAACGGTTAACTGAAGGTTTTATTGATGTAATACTGACTGATTAGATGTTGCGGAATGTGAGGGCCAGGAGAAAGGGTGAGGGTACATACACACACACACACACACACACACACACTCTCTCAGGTGGTCAAGGTTGTAGGAGAAAACTGTTCCACCTGAGGCGCCGCTGGGAGCCTCCTGCAGCCGAGGGAGACTATATACTCAGTTTCTACACCAGAACCTAATGTTTACCTGCACCAACTGTTATACTCTTTACTATGTCTTTCCTTTCTTGTTATTTGGCTTTCATAATTTTATTCCCATTATTTTGTCTTTTTTTTCTACCTGGGATTCTTGTGGGTCTCTCTCTCTCTCTCTCTCTCTCTCTCTCTCTCTCTCTCTCTCTCTCTCTCGTTATTATATATTGTTGTTTTAAAGTTTCAGCTGTGTTCTGGTGTTCTGGTTGTGTACGTGAGGTTGGAGAGTGAAGGGGAGGGAAGGTCACCACCAAATAGTTTCAGAGCAGGAGGCAGTGTGGTCATTTCTCAACACAGTTTTCCTTTTATGTCACAACACACGCTTGAGACACTGACTATATGAGGTTATGATGAATAACGAGTATATTCTCATCTATGATTCATTATATACACTCACAATTGGCACTCATGATATACTCACACTCGAGGCACTTAGGCACATTTTTACTCTTCCTAATATTGATACAACCTAAGGCAGTGATTCCCAACTTAGATATATTGAAGGACTTGATTTATTTCCCGTGTTTGGTTCAGGCATGTAGCTCCTCCATCGTCTTTGGTGGATGTGAAGGGAGCAGACTAGAGAGAAATCGAGCGAGAAAAACATTACATTAGTTGTACAGTTATAAGCACTAACACACGATCGTTCTTTTCCACCACAACAGTTATCAGTATAATACTTTGTGGGTTACGCAGGAACGATCACCACCACAGTCAGGTTTCATATATTTCATCTGTGATAATATGTGCTGTGCTGTGATGTGGGTTTTTTTTCGATTTTATGGAAGAGAAAGTAAATTTTTATGCTCGTGTGGGTTACTTTCGCCTTTCAGCATCATGCCACGGCGGCGAGAGTTCGGAGGGAAAATTATTTAATTGAATCATTATCTATTTGCCAAACGAGCAGCGAAAACTAGGTATTACAGTCAATTATTCTCATGGTGATTTTTCCACGCGTGACGTCATAGTGAGAGTTGCCGCACAGTATTATTACCGCGACAGATGTAAACACTCGTCAAATCTTGTTGAAAGTTTTCCCTCTAAGTTTATCTTGTATTAGAATTCAAGGCTTTAATTATTCTTTCATTCTCGTGTCAGGAATGTATAGAGGAACAAGAAGAAGAAGAAATAAGACGAATAATTCATATCTAACATAAACATCATTCTCGCGCTAACTGTCAACTCGAACCTTAAACCTATTAAAGAAAGTAAATCCTATCCTGTTTGATGTCAGAACCTAATATGGATAACTGGTTTTATCTTCACGTTAAACTTATCATAGTAAAAACTTGTCAGAAGCAGCAGCAGTAGTAAGAGACGAGCCAGTTTACATTACCGAGGAGTCAAGGTGGCGCCACGGCCGTCCACTCCCAGATCAGGTCGGGGGAGGAAGGATAAGTGTTGGTATTCTTGGTATGTTGGTCGGTATTCTGCTAAAGCTTCCCTATAGTTTATTTATATAGTGTGGAGAAAATATCTGTCCCGTTTTCTTTGATAATCGTGTACAAAGAATGGGAAATTTGACTAAGTTTAAAAAAAAAATGGTATTTCGTCACTGTTTATTGTATGTACTTTTTCCCGTTTATATTGTCTTATTTGTTTTTTCTTATTTACTTATTATTTACTTTAACCTCACTCTTCCCCCCTCATTCACACACACACTCAGACCTCCCTCTTCCTGCATTCTCCCCTCTCATCCGCCCCACTCAACCCTCCCCTCCCACACTTCCCAAGCCCCCTGCCGGAACGTGTCAATATTAAGTCTGGTTTATAAATTCCAAGTTTTTGCTCAGAGTGGAAAGGTCACTGATGTCAACCTTGTGGGGTAGATTCGACTTTCTCTATACAATGAATTAGAGTAAGAAAGTAGAGAGTAAAGTAAGTTAAAAACAAACTCTTGACTGGAGACAACTTAATCGAATTTTAAAAGCAAACTCTCTCTCTCTCTCTCTCTCTCTCTCTCTCTCTCTCTCTCTCGTGAAAACTGCAACTTTCTCCTTTAGCGTTGTTGAGAGAGCTGGCGTGTGTATGTATGTGTGTTCCTGTGTATGTATGTGTGTTCCTGTGTATGTATGTGTGTTCCTGTGTATGTAGGTGTGTTCCTGTGTATGTAGGTGACCTCATTAAGTGCTCTCAACAAGTGTCTGTCTCTGTTGTGTTTCCCTCGTGTGTCTGTTAAAGGTCTCAGTATGTGTCTCATTATGTCTCTCTCATTGTTGTTGAATTTACCTGTGTTTATATAATCTCTTAACCTAATTAACATGTTTATTGAATCGTTTAACAGAGAATAACAAAATACTTGTCATTTATGCTATTTGGTATAATGTGTTGGCTATTTTATATAATTATCACCTATAACCTATAATTTTCCCGACTGTGATATATAACCTGTGAGGAGACTTAACTAATGACGTATGTTAACTTTAATATAATCACCTGTTATATTATTATACTTTCATTAATTAACATTACTTAATACAATAACTGCTAGCGTCCCCCTGTGTGTGTGTGTGTGTGTGCGTGTGTGTGTGTGTGTGTGTGTGTAGCTAAGTCAACATTACATAGTTTCTAATTATTTTAACAAGTTTTCTAATTATGTCTAAAATCTAAATTGGTTCAGATTAATTTTCAGTAATTTCAGAAAGTTGTAGTTTAGATTAGAAGGAAGAGGAGTGTTAGTGTTGTGGTGGTGATGAGGCTGTGTTGGTGTAGTGAGGGAGTCGCGGAACGTCACCACCATCTGCCGCTACCTGGTGATAACAGCTGGTGTACTTGCGAACCCCCTCAACCTGTAAACACCTGTCACGTCACATGTTTCACGGCCATGGCCTACATTCAGGCCATTAACCTTCATGGTCTTGGGGGCCTGCATCATGTTACACTCAGACTTCAGTAGAAATAAAGTATAAAACCTGGAAGGATATATCACGCTATAGTCTTGATTGGTACATCTGCTCACCTGAATTTGGTATAAAGGCTGGAGAGACATTTCGGGACTGAGTGAACTAGTCATCTGTGAGAGTCGCCCGTGTAAGGATCCTCACCTTAGAAGGAGTTGGACTCTCGTCACGCTTCAAATAACTCATTAATTTGGCATCAGTAACACTAACACTGCTTTAGACTCGTAATACATGACTGTATAGTCCCAGCTTTTAATTCAGTAACTCACTAATACCTTCTCTGGCTTATAACTCATCAAACAAGTGAAGTGTTGCGGTCAGTATCTGCAGTACAAACACTAACATAACTCAATTGTAGTTTTTCTTCTACAACATTAACTGTGCCACTAATAATCACCAATTGTTCAGACAGCCGCTGTAAGAAGTAACACTAAACTATTTTTTTTTGGTCATTGTGATAAACCTTTTTTATTATCAATGCAAATGTCAGCTTCAGTCAGCGCCTGTGCATGGCATCTTTATATTTCAGATCCGACGCTGCATGTTATTCAAAAAATGCTTTTATGTCAATTATATCCCATAAAACCTCAGTGTAGTGCCTGGCGCTGTGTCCCCCGAGTGTAGTCAGCATGATGCTTGTATTAACTAACTTGTTTTCGTCCTCCCTGCCTCATCATGCATCTACAGGAGCCCAGGAGTCCTCCATCACCCCCGGCGGGAGTGGTAACTGGCAATGTCCCCACGAGTTCGGCTACTACCCACACGAGGTCTCCTGCGACAAGTACTACACCTGCGACGTTGGGGTCCCCACCCTCAAGACGTGTGGAAACGGCCTCGCGTTCGACGCCTCTGACCCAGACTTCCTGCGGGAGAACTGCGACTACAGGCACAATGTAGACTGTAGCGGACGCCCTGAGCTGGGTACGCCCTCCACACGCTGTATCACACGCCCACAACACGCAACAGATGATCCACAGTCACCAAAAGACTTGCACGGTCTATGGCACTCACACTGGGATTATTTTCGGCTGAAACTGAACCTCTGTCTTTTATTTTATCACGGGTCTCGGTGACACTGACATAAACCTAGACTAGACATTAGTAAACCTGGGATAACGGTGTCCACTACACGATATTTTCCCTCATTTATTCTGGCACAAATTACCTGCTTGTGACACAGTCGGGATAACGGGTGATGGTCGGCTCTAGTAATTATTTCTCCCTTATTTATTAGTACGTTTGGTGACTATGTGAGGATGAACTGCTGGACAGGTAATAATAAGTGTTTGTCATTAAGTGTTCCATCCTCACACAGTCAGCCAACACAGAACAGGGAACAACGCGGAACATGACAGCAGCAGCGGCATCAAGAACACTCACTATACCACTCATGCTCTCCCTTCCTCATCTTCCCATTCACACTTACTAATACTGGAGAGGGTTGTGGGTGTATGCAGGACTGGCACAGGAGGCCGCCGGAGACTTCGAGTATGAAGACTTCCTGTGCCCCAAGGACTATGGGTTCTTCCCTCACCCCACCCAGTGCGACGCCTACTGGAGCTGCGACGAGGGGAAGCCAGAGTTCCGCCTGTGTGGTAACGGCCTCGCATTTGATATCAAGAACGACACCCGCGAGAACTGCAACTATTTCTTCGCTGTGGACTGCTCCGACCGTCCCGAGCTGGGTAGGGCGAGGCGTCTCTTGCGTCCCCGCCTTCATGTCCAGCATCTTATTATCATTGTTCTCTGCATGACCTGGATGTAACAGTCTTTGCATGAATGGAATTCCACGATGCATGTTATACCGTCGGAAATACAATTTTTACACAAACTCAACACAAGTCATTGCTGTATTGATCTGATAAATAAAGCTTTTGAAATACTTGGAAATAGTGAAGATAGTGAGTTGGTCTTTGTTATGTATCTTGTCTCAACATACCGTCCACCACACAGAGCCCGCCATCTCCACCCCACACTGTCCCAATCTCTTCGGTATCTTCGCTGACCCCGACGACTGCTCCGTCTTCTGGTCCTGCTGGGACGGTGAGTCCTCTAGGTACGCCTGTGCCCCTGGCCTCGCCTACGACAGGAAGTCACGTGTGTGCAACTGGATGGACAACATCCCTGAGTGCAAAGAGCAGAGAGGTAAGGACGAGACTCACCTGTCACCCTCAGTCTTGAACACACACACACACACACACACACACACACACACACACTTTTTATTCACGAGGTAAGTTATAGACAGGTCACTGGTGGGTGAAGGAAGCCACCAGTTGAGCCTTGTTACGAGAGTGGCAACACTCCGCCCCTTTACTACTCACAGTCTTGTTGCACACAACATAAATAAGCAAACGTTATAGCCGTAACATTAGTCACACTTGAGACATAACCATATTGTTACCTGACCATCATGTTGACAGTGTTGTCACATTTGTCTCACCAGAAGCCATGCAGGACAACTTCGTGTGTCCCGCCCCAGGTGAGCTGGCCGCCACCGGCTCCTTCTCCCGCCACGCCCACCCTGAAGACTGCCGTGAGTACTTCGTGTGTCTGGATGGCATAGCTCGTGAGTATGGCTGCCCCATCGGCACAGTCTTCCAGATCGGCAACCAAGACGGCTTCGGTCAGTGCGCCGACCCAGAGACTGTCCCCGGCTGGTAAGTTAGCGCCGTGTGTCCCCCTTTGTTATTGATCACCTCACTGTGTCGCCAGGGTGAACGGTTTGTTCTTCAGTTGTACAAAAAAATGTTACTCACTAAAAGTTCATCATAACTTGTTTCTTGTTCTGGACGGTCTTTGTGTTCACTTTTCTTTCTGTCGTTTCCACAAGAGTAACTGCATGACCCTATGAGCCAGCCCACCAGGCAGTGACCGCCCTCACTGGTACTGCACTGTAGTTTGTCTCAACAATAGTCAAGTTAACATAGAAGATTCTTGTTCATTCATTTTAGGAAACATTTGCCATATTTTTACTCGTGTCTATTTTTCATTTTAATAATTCATGGTTTATATATAGTGATATTTTGGTCTTCTCACAACTGTTTCCTCTGCATGTAGCGGCCAGACTAGTGTGATCATTACTAGTATTAACTATTAACTTGCCAGTCAGTGTGCACCACCGCATTTACCTTAAAGTCATGCAACAGTCTGTATGCCTATCATGAAGCATGACACTCACCTCCTGCATGGGGTCTCTTCTGGCCACAAGTCTTCCCTCGTGGACCACACACTGTTGACCACACATGTCGCGACCCCCACCCACCGCCTCTCACCTCTCACTCCCTTACCTGAGTGTTTCCTGAAGGGGGTGTGGTGTAGAGGGTGTACTGGGGCCGTGTTCACATAACCACTCCGGTGGGCGTGGCCGACGCTCAGGGTAAGGGCGTCAGCTAAGCCTAACCCTTGACTATGACTTCCTTAGCGAGGACTACTACGGCGACCTGGACCTGTCCAGCCTGAGGAAGAGTCAGCTCCTGCTGGGTAACTTGGGGCTGCAGAACGGTAACATCGTGACCCCAGCCCCCCGTCCCCGCCGGCCAGTCGCTGCCCCATCTGACGTCCCAGCAGAAGCCTAGACGACACCAGGTGCGGCCTCCTCCTCCTCCTCCTCCTCCACTATCTCCCCCGTCAGTCCAAGACATCGCTGCTGAAAGACACATCATTGACGATCATTCAGCAAATATCCTTTGACTGGGACCTGCTCTTTATGGCACCATTGCTCTATGATTCATGGTTTACATAACTCACTCATGCAAAGATTCATATAACTCCTTCCATAAATCTTTGTTTCTCAATGTGTCTTGCATGATAATGATTTTCCGCACTTGTTCACATTCTCTTCTTGAACTTGATAATAACTAGTTTACAGTACACCCCAGTCTGCTCCTGTACAAGTATGAATATAGATACATACTAGGCTCTGAGTGTCTAGTATTGTCAAAACGTATACAAAAATTCCACCATTGTTTACCGTGTGACATTTATCTTACCGTGTTTGTTTTCTGCCCACAGCGAGGACTACTACGGTGATCTTGACCTGAGAACGCTTCGTGGACTTGGCTTGTAGAGTCTTAAGATAAATAATAATAGTATAGACATTAAAACTCTACTGAATTAGATCAATCGAATTTGAGGTTTAATGTTTTATCAATTCGAGGTAGATTTGATTGATAATAATTTCCCCATCGTTATAATCAATGTTCAAATATTACCCTCACCCTAGTTATTGTGTCACGATAATTCTTTATTTTGAAAGATAAAAGCTGTGACCAGCTTTGATAATAATACAAAGCCTATTTTTTTTTCTACCATTTAATTTTTATCATCTTCATTCATCGTCAAACCCGAAGCTTCACTTACATTGCCGACTGAACCCCCCAAACCCTCCCTCCTCACTGAACCATTGGACACTCCTCATTGATCAGGACTCTTATTTTCATTTTATAGGTGTCGGCAGCAAAACCACATCATATAAACAGGATTATTATGTCAGTATGTTTATTATTGTGAGTGTATCGTTGCTGACTAAACGTTAAATCTCTGTATGATAACTCCAGTCTGTACGTTAATTTCATATCTCTGTACGATAACTCCTCACTCACAAGGTCCACCACCACTCCCCTGGCTGCATTATCTTCTTTCGTGTCTTGTGTAAGCCGAGTACGGCATGTGTCTGTTGTATATTGTTAAGTTGTACAATATTATTAAGTATTTTGTAAATAAAATACTCCAATAAGAATGTTGTATTGAGTATCCTATAAAGTATTGACCCTGGCATCAAGAGTGATATTTGGTTTTTGTTATAACTTTTTCTTCGTTGTTTCTTCACACTGTTCATTCTTTCTTCTTTCTCACTTTCCAACCTGTATTGATTACTCTAGTCAGTAAGATATACTAAACCAATATTCGATTACCGTCCACACCAATAATAGCAAACGCCATTCTTTTGGAAACAACAGTGTATAGATATATAACAAACTTTTATATATTGAAACATGTTTCACTGTTTAGCTCATATTCTTACTATTTCATGTTATTTAACATTAATTTCGTGTATTATCAACAACAGTGGCTGGTCTGACTTAACGAATCCAAATGATTCATAGTTCATGAGAATGAGTCGGGAGATCTCATAACCCTTTTAGTGAACTTCACTTGATCAGTCATTGTTTTCCTTGAGCCTGGATTACCCTCCGCGCTACAGGACCTTATTTACTGCCGTGTATCTTTCCGTCTTTGTCTCTAACATATCAGGTAAAGTAACCTCAGCCATTGCTCTATACCTGAGGGTATTTTCTCATCTCTCACGTTCCTACATGACTAGTGGTAGACATTATTTCCTGTGTGCTGTGATTGTTCGTATGGTGTGACCCCGTTTTTTCATATTTATATTGTTTGTATAACCTCTACTCAGAACTGATTTACTGCTATATGTTATTAAGCACCATGTTAACTATTTACATAACAGTTCTTTATGAATTTACAGTAAATTTGTACAAGTTGCCCACCCACTATATTTTTGGGTCCAGTTCTAGACACACCTCATCATTTTGAGTACCTTTCATTCTATACATTTCTGTCGCAAATTAATAATAGTGAACGTAATAGAACCTGACCTAACCAACCAAAGAAACCTACCTAACCTTACTTTATTGAAGCATCTTGGTATAATTTTACGGTTTTTGTTGACGTGAGAACAGACGACACGCGGTGACTCAACAGGTTATGGGCACCTTGTAAAAAATAGCGAATTTACTCCTCATGCTGACCATCTCCCATTGAACCCCTTATCTCGTCACAGTTAGACTAAACAGATCATAATCTTGGGTTCCTTGGTCATTGACAACTTTAATAGCATCTTGTTATCGTTATTCTTCTACAACCACATTTCCTTCTTGTTACATGTACTTGCTAAGATAACAAGTAAATAGAGATAACGACTAAGATAACATGTTAATAAATACAATATCTAAGATAGCAGTGCTGAAATAACTAACATATTAGGTCCACAAAACAGCTAAGATTACAGGTTCACAAACACAAAACTAAGATAACAGCTTAACAAACACAATAATTTTACTGTTTTCATGTCTTCTGATAATAGCTGACGTGGTAGGTGATGTTTTGTTTATTAGGTATAAAAATATTTTGTTTTAGAGAAATGGCGAGAGAAAAGTAGTGTGGGGAGATTAAGGAGTGAAGGTTTTTGCCTGTATAATGAAAAGCGCTGCAGGTGTGTGTGTGTGTGTGATCCTTCCACAACCACCGCTGATGAAAGTTATCTACAATGCTTGAGTTCATTGTACTTTACTCTTAGCGATTCACATGTTGTTACACCCCCCCCCCCCCCAAGTAATTGAGAATGAGAGAACGTATCTATCTAGTTCTGTCAGTCTGATTGAGATGATATTTTGACCGCTATTTTTAGGTCTTTGCTTGAATGAATCGGCAAAGGTTCTCTCGTGTTGAAAGATCACCGTACACAGTTCTGAAATCGGATTCAAGTCATGATTTTACACAAAGACGCAGAAAATGTTTGTTCTTCACGGATAATTATTCTTTCCTTTAGCCAGTCTGTAAAGCTTAAAGAATCGGGGTTAATGCCAGACGATTTTATTCGGCAGAGAGGGGACCCCTTACATAAGGGGTTAATAAACTATCTCTACTAACGGTGAAATCAACACGAGGGAACAAACAGAAAATTATAAAAAGTTTATGAATTATCTAAAACAATCCACGATGACGATTTTTTCACTTCCATAATAATCGACATTTATGAACGCGTCAGATTAATATCTCTTTGGGAGAAGTCAATGTGGCAAGGTTGTTTTAATTCCATAAGATCTTTGATTGTAGATTACTAGTGTTTGTACAGCAGACTCGGATAAGGAAAATGGTTATAGTCATCTGTTTAACTTTCGGCTGCTGTTGCTCCCTATACTGTGTTTGCTCTTATCATGAATATAGGATTTAATTCGTTAACTTTCATATAGGATTTAAGCCCCGTTACCCTGAAACTCGCAACTTCCTTCAGATAAAAAATAAAACATCAAAATTAAAACACCGATGTACTGCATTTCTTGGACATGATAAGTTGTACCCGGGTTTGTGATTTACTCCTATTTTAGAATTACATGGCGCGTGACGTCTCTAGTGAATCTAATGTTAAGGATTCTAAGTTTAGACAATTCAATTTTTAAATTCATTTATATTATTTATCTATCATAATAAATATGGTGTTATTGTTAATATATAAAACACGTCATAGTTTGAGGGTAGTATTGGTGGTTTATCTTATCATACACGCTCGTCCGGTCTGTCGCCGTCACTAAACTGCCAGAAAGTAAAATTCATCTATTTCATTAATTTTCATCTTAAGAATAAATTCCCATTAACCCAAATATTCTAAGACATTAAATATTTATGTCATATTGAAATAAAATCACTTGGGGAAATGAGAGGCGTAATATGAAGGAATAAGAAAATAAAGTTATTACTCTCAGTACCGCAACACGTGCTAACCTCTGTACACGAGGCGAGGATGTCAGCAGCACTCATTCTGTTTACGACAAAACTGGTGGGTGTACGTCACTGCCAGCCTCACCTTCAGGATATAAAGGTAATTTGCCTGGTGTAGCTAAGGGAGGGTAATAGTATGGGAGTGTTATAGTAAGGGACAGTAATACAGGGAGTGTTTCTTAAGCCATTTGTCTCTTGTCTACCCAGCAATAATTTGAGAACCTGGAAGTTAATCAATTTGCTGATTGTGTTCCTGGGTAATGGTAAGCCAGTGTAGTTGGCGAATTGTCCGGTCTTCTCGAATTATTCCTTAACACTGGGTCATACAGCTCAATAATATAGGGTGTGGTTGTATTGGTGACAGCTTCTACACCTTACAAATTCACGCCTACTGTAGTTGACCCTCCAGTCGGCCATTCTCGGACACGAGGGGCAATCATTATTATTTTGTAGCACTAAAACAGTGTTATATTAAGACTGTGTTATATTAAGAGTGTTGTGTTAAGATAGTGTTATATTAAGACTGTGTTATATTAAGACAGTGTTGTGTTAAGATAGTGTTATATTAAGGCAATGCTATATTAACAACTTCTAACAAATCGCTAATATATTATCTTCATTAACCAGAGTTGTACAGCGTATTCAATGTAATTTTTCCCCTAACAGGACTTTATGGACACACTTTATTTCTCCATAAAGACGATATTTACTGTATGACCTAACCTAACATTTTCCTATATTTAATCAAACCTAATCTCCAGGTAAAACTATAACTACTTCTATTACCACATATTATACCAATCATTTATCAGCCATTTGGTCCGTATTGTACATGTAAAAAAAAATATATCCTTTCAGATGTACCGTAGGCTTATTAACTGTTTTGATACCACAGTGATAACTATTAACAACATATCACAACTTGTATCAACACGTATCACAACATAGCACATATCACAGCATATCAAATCATATCACAACATACAATACATCAAAGCACATCACAAAACACATCACAACATACAATACATCAAAGCACATCACAAAACACATCACAACACATCACAACATACAATACATCAAAGCACATCACAAAACACATCATAACACATCACAACATACAATACATCAAAACACATCACAACACATCACAACACATCAAAGCACATCACAAAACACATCATAACACATCACAACATACAACACATCAAAGCACATCACAAAACACATCACAACACATACAATACATCAAAGCACATCACAAAACACATCATAACACATCACAACATACAATACATCACAACACACATCACAACACACATCACAAAACACATCACAACACATCACAACATACAATACATCACAACACACATCACAACACACATCACAAAACACATCACAACACATCACAACACACAATACATCAAAACACATCACAACACACATCATAACACATCATAGCACATCACAACATGTCGCAACACACATCACAACACCTAAACACACATCCGTTCTGTTGACTTTCACTGCCTATCCGGTCAGTTTTAAATTTCCTGTAAGTCTTGAGGATAAAATGATATTCAGTTTGTTTTCCTGTTCTTGTTTTTATTTATCGTTGAAGCTAAAAACAACTGCGTGTCGTCTGTACTCCCACGTCAACACTTTTTTTTATATAATTTATATACCATGATGCTTCAATAAAGTAAGGTTAGGTAAGTTTCTTTGGTTGGTTAGGTCAGGTTCTATTACGTTCACTATTATTCATTTGCGACAGAAATGTTTAGAATGAAAGGTACTCAAAATGATGAGGTGTGTCTAGAACTGGACCGAAAAATATTGTGGGTCATTATGGGCAACTTGTACGAATTTACCATCTCCACGATTCTTTTTGTTTTTGTTTCTACATTACTGAATGTTTACAAGTATTAAATTATGTGATGACTTGTAGCTAAATTTCTAACACCATGAAGAGAGAAAATGTTTTTAATGGGATATAAACAATGGTGTTAACTGTTATTATTATACCATTAGCTCCCAGGCTGGCGGTGTTATGCATCAGGTGTGGTGGATTAACTTATCTCCCAGAAGCTTGTTTATTTGTCTCTTATCTTGTGGAGTTAAGGTCACATCTAGTTCCCTTGTATTAAGATATCTTACATATCTTCTTAATATGAGGTTCGGTGGCTGAGTGGATACAGCCATTCCTCTCCTGTCCTAAAGGTCACCTGGTTAGCAACCAGTCGACCCAACTGTGAAATAGTGCCTCACCTTACAGTTTAGGAAATTAAGGCGGTCGAGTACATTGCCGGCCATATTGTGTACACTCGCTAGATATTAAAGAACAATTGGGGCGCCACACATGAGAGACTTTCAAGACATTAGAAAGCAAAAGGTTTTCTTACAAGTGATATATAAAACGAAACTCTCAGTTGTATATCATATGTTAGGAGAAACCTGCTTGTTGTGTATGTAGATTATATAATTGCTGACGACGTTTGAGTCAGTTTGTTCATTCCTATGATCACTTACGTCTTTAGAAAAGCCCCGATGATCACCACTGGCTTGAGGGCAGCTGGACTAACCTCGGTGTATCTGTAGACAACGAATATATTGTACAGTCCCATGCACTTATACCTGGTACAGTGGCTGGTGCATTTTGTAAGATGTGGCAACTCTGTGGAATGTTTATCTAGCATCCTTATATTAGCTATTATTGTGAGATTCCTCAGGGCCATTCCGAGAATTTTAATACTGTACAATCTAAACAAACACAGGGATGCCACATCTCACAAAACACGTCAGCCACTGTAACAGGTATAAGTGCAGGCAGCTGAACATTGGCTTTCTGAAGTGTTAGGACTTGATGACTCATATTTTGATAAATTTCCTTTAATATTTCGTAGTTCTCTTTGTCCTCTTGGTAAAATATAGGAAAAATCACTCATCTCATGGTTAACACAGTGTACAGTATGTATATTAATCAAGGAAGCAACAGTGATATGTATACCACTTAAAAGGCAACACTGACTGCTGATGTTTGAGTTAAAGAATGCGAAGGTTAAGGTCATGGGGTCATAAGGGTGTGGCAACAGTTTTTGGCTCATCACCACCATGTTGCATCAGTGTGAGGGAAGGTCTGTTTTTCTTTTTAATAATCTTATCCGTCGTTCCCCTCTCTGTGTGAATGTTTGTCACTGTATCATGAAAGTCACGGTTAAAATAGACTTGTATAATTCTTCTTGATGTATTTGAGTTAATATATTTTTAAGGGGAATTAGAATGTGTGGGATAAATGTTTTTAGTCAAGAATGTGAGTTGAGTTTTGTGAAGGTTATATTTGCAACAAAGTGTATGATATAAGAAATGTTCTTAATGTTAAATGTGCTGTTAAGAATGTTCTGTATATTTTTTTTTAAACCATGTGTATTGATAATGTATAGTGAAGATTGAGTTGTGAAGAATGTATGCTGTGAATAACATACATGCCACAAAGAATATATTTTTAAAACTGTATGTTGATGAAGAATAAATCTATCGAGAATAATGTATAAGTGTTGTGTAGAATATTTTTGCCACTTTAATTAATTACCTTCCATATTTGACCTTATTAATCATCTCTTTAACCCACATCATCAACCTGAGGTCAAATTACAATACAATAATAATGACGTATAATGTAATCACCAGGTGGATGAGATGGCCAGGTGATGCTTGTGGACATGCGGGTGTTGGTGGGTGTGGTGTGGGTGGGCGTAGTGACTCTCACCCACGCCCACAACATCAGGCAGGACCCACACCTTGATCCAAACATGCAAGACACCTTATATCCTCAACAGGTGAGTTAGTATTACCTTAGCTTATATGTTTATCTGTGTAAATACTGGCACCAAAAAGTATTTTCACAGAGGGTGGTGATGAATTTCACAATGAACACTACGACTCCTGTTGTCTCGGTAGGGTTGTCAAAATCCTTCGTCCGTTGTGTCATATTGTCTCACACAGAATCGTAAAGATACTGTACTGTGCTTGTTGTAGCGAGCGTAACATACTTATTTAGGCAAATAACCAAGTATATTTATACATAAACGTACTCAGTCTACATACAGATATAAACCATTATGTATGAAAATACACTTTATACTTATATATGTATACATTAATGTATAAGAAATAATACTTACAGGTGTATATGATGTAGTACATGTAAATACAAATATAGTACCACTACGAGAACATAAACACATGATTACCACACACCTGTACCTCATGACAGGTGAAAACAGGTACCACTGGTGATCACTCTGTAACTTACAATATTCACATACACATGATAGTACGCTATAATACATAAATGAACTCACGAGTGTACACACAAGCACTCATAAGAACACGACCGTAGGAATATACTGTACTGTACACACATATGACAACTCTGGTGCAAACAGACAACTGGACAATCAGGTGTGTCACTCTTGCACTCACCTAACATAAGGTATAAATAAGGACAGATAAATATAGACACGAACACACACACACGCCTTTACTTACATGACATTCGGTAAAAGTATTCTCTAATTAGTGTCATAAAAAAGAAAGTTTCTAGAAAGTTTTGCCTCCAAAATATTAAGTATAAATAATTTCTGAAGGAATCACTAATTCTGTAATGTAATGATAGAGAGAGAATATATGATGACAATGACCGCGAAGCCTTTCTTTGAGACAGTGAATCATTTTGTGAGACAATGAATCACTTTGAGACAATGAATCACTTTATGAAACAATGAATCACTTTATGAAACAATGAATCACTTTATGAAACAAATAATGAATAACTCGTCTTGTTTGTTGAGCCCACGTAAGTACAGTTGTGAAGCAGAGAAAGTGAGTCCATTAAGTTCCACAGGATGAAGGTGACGGTCTCCCTGAATTGAGTGACCACCTGGCTCTTGAGTTGCAGGGGGAGGAACAGCAAGCCAGGCAATTAGCGGAGAAGTACAACCTCCACTATATACGCCAGGTGAGCAACTTAGCTGGTCACTTGTCATGGGATTTAAGAGGTTTTAGATGGTAGCTACAGTTTGTGTAACCTTGATTTAGATGATTGATATTTTTTGTGTAACCTTGGTCTAAAGTATAACTATGAATTATGACATAGATAAAATTAATGAGTATTTAATAAATAACTATCGTTTCCCTTCCAATGATGTATTTAAACAACAGATTGATCCATATTGACTCATTCATAATAATTTCTGATTTAAGGTTTTTGATTCTTGTTCTGTCATGCAGGTGTTCATGAACCCGTCAGTCTACCACCTGCACAGACCAGTGAGCACCAACAGGCGGCTACGGACACCAGACCTTGACCTCCTCCAGCTGATCTCAGAAGAACCCGGGGTCAGTAAGGCTCCATAACACATGTCAGGTTTCTCATCCCTGTCAGAATCTCATTAACTATCCCTGCTCTGAGAAAGGAATTTGTGTTTCTGTGTCTCATTGTCTTTGTTACAGGTATTTGCTTACACTGTCTTAAGACATTCGAGGCAATGGGAAAAATTTACAAAACTTGATTTTTGTTTTACCTGTACAGTATTGTCTATATACATTATTGTATACCTGTACTGTTTATGTGGTTTGTTTACATTCACTCTGTCTATATGCTAAATTATTGTGAACTTTTAAGATGATTTTGCAGAATATTTATCTATTAACCACCTGCCTGTCGATTTATCTATCTGCCTAAGTCTGTATATATATATATATATATATATATATATATATATATATATATATATATATATATATATATATATATATATATATATATATATATATATATATATATATATATATGTGTGTGTGTGTGTGGTATAGTAGTATGTGTATGTTGACAGTAACCTATGCCACTAATTATCTATCTAATCCACACCATTATAACACTGCACTGTATCCTGTAGGTGAGGTGGGTTGACCAGCAAGCATCACTCATCAGAGATAAGAGAAGATTAGTACTAAAGAGAACATTCGAGGACCCACCTGATGACGATGTGAGACTCCTCAAAACACGAAGGAGACCCACTTACCACAGCATCCCGGCAGATGTCCGCAACTCAAGATCCGCCTTAGATGAAATGCTGAAAAGAAGTGTAGAAGAGACGAACAGAAGAGAATTACATTGGAATGGAAGAAAATATATTGATGAGTGGGAACAGGAGGAAGAGGAGATAGAGGTAAATGGATACCCAACTGCAGGAAGACAAGATAGTGGAGGTGGTCTACACGAGAGGAACCTCCAGAGAGACTTGATAAGAGTTCCACTCAGTCTCAACATTGGGAGTTCTGTTGACTTGGCCAGATCTAGGCTCGGAGTGTCTCAAGCAGCTCACGAACACAGTCTACGATCATATGTGAGTGATGAAACAGTTTATCCACGCGAGAACAATATTCCCTCCGCCATGAACGCTGACGTGACCAGGAGAATCGGAGACCGTGGAGGTAAACAAAATGAAAGTAGATTGAGGTTAAAATTACAAAACAGAGGAGGAGGTGGAAAATGGGAAAGCAATCTGGCAACAACAACATTTAATGATCCGTACTTCAAGGATCAATGGTATTTGGTATGTATGATGTAGATGATGATATTCTAAATATATATCACTTTATTATGACATTTTCAAATAAAACTTGGTAATGGTCTCATAGACAGGAAATGTAATCCTTTTTTGAGAAAATTTTATATTGAAGAACATTTGAGTTGCTTAGTACCATCAGACTTAGTGAGACTCTATATATAACTGAACTAAATACAGTATAGTAAAACATTTAATCTTTTTCTAAGTCACATTTAAAGAAATTCTCAAATGGCTAGTTTTATTAAAGGTTGCTCTATAGTGTGTATAATAAATTAAAATTTAACAATAGCAAAATTAAAATAAAGTACTTTATAGTATGGTTATGTAATCTATGCATAAAGAAACTATTTTTTATTCACAATACTCATATAGAATATATAATTCCATAAATATTAGTAATTCATGATGAGGTTGTAGTTTTCACCTCATCAAACAGCTCACATGGTGGTCTCTGTACAGCCTCATGTTACCACAAACTTCATTAACACAATAAAACATTCTTCTTCCTTCTCCAGCACAACACAGGTCAATTGGGCCATAAAGGACCGGATTTGAATGTGACCTGGGCTTGGCTTCGAGGCTTCACTGGCCGTGGTATCCATATTTCAATCTTGGACGATGGAATCCAAACCACGAATGCGGATATTGCAGCCAACTATGTACGTACACAACAGAGCTAAGATTATTGTAAGCTTATGTGACTGGAAGATGTGGCTGTACGGAGATTTAAGCTTCTGTTCAGCACTAATGTTGAAGTGATGTCTGCTAATAGAATTGTTAAAGTGGTTAGTTAGTGAGCGAGTGAGTTTAATTAGTTATTCAGTCAGTTAGTTAGTTAGTTGATCAGTTACCTAGTGAGTGAGTGAGTTTACTCGGTCATCAACATGAAGTTGGTTCGTGTACTGTACAACAGCTCCTGACGTAATACCTTGCGTGTTAGCACTTGGAGTCATATCATGGATTTTGTGCACATTTTATACAAAGGTGCTACTTTACATGCTGATTAAGGATCTGGGTTCACATTACTGTACTGTATAAAAATTCGAGTATTTAGTGTTAGTTAATGACCTTTGAAATAATTTAGAATACAGTGGTCCCTCGGTTAACAAGCACAATCCGTTCTAGAAGGTTGCTCGTTAACCGAAACCATTGTTCCAATGGGTTTTTGGGTAATTGGTTCCAGCTCACCGAAAATTGCCTAAATTCAACAAAAAAGGTAGAAAAGTACACTTACTTTGAGGTGTGTATGTAGAAGGCTCCTGGATGATGATGATGATGGGAATTAGAATGGGGGTGGAGGAGAAGGGAGAAGAGAAGGCATTGGGGTGGAAGGGAAGTCACCCCATGGCGCCATTTCACCCATAAAATTTTAGTTCTCTTGGTGTAATTCAAGATTATTTTAAATCCACCCTGCACTGCATTATATATTGTCAATATGTAAAATAAATTTCAAAATGACTAATAATTTGCTTGAAAACACAGAAAAAAAAGCGTTTAGTTGAAGAGAGTCTCAAGCAAGATGTTACCTCCACTGAAAAGACACAAAGACTGACGCCTGTATGGTGTGTTGAGAGGCTGGATGGCACGCATAAAACTAGTTTCATTACCTTCAATTATGTTCAATAATTGTTAAAATGACTAAAAAATTTAATATTAAACTTTTAAAATTATTGAATAGTACAGTATAAACTTCTTGATATTTGCTAAAATGGTAAGGAATTTTAGCCCTAGAACCGATTACTGTATTGGCGGATTAATACTACAGCTGGTGGACCGCCAAATGCAAGCGAAAACATGTGGAGGTCGGCTCGTAAGAAACTCGTAAATCGAGGGATTGCTCGTTAACCGAAGTTAAGAATCTTATGGAAGGTAACTCGTTAACCAAAATCTCGTTAACCGAGGTGCTCGTTAACCGAGGGACCACTGTATTTAAAAAGTTAATTACACTGTGGTCATAAATTTTAAGCTACCTTCACGTAGACTTTCTTAAAAATATAGTCTACCTTTATTATATAAGGACCCTGACGTGAGCTACTCGGTGGTACATGATGGTCAGCCGCTGGACGACCCATCCCCGAGGATAGATCCCAGCTACTCCAACTCTCACGGTACTTATTGTGCTGCTATAGTGGCCGCCGTCCCTAACAACTCCGTGTGTGGTGTTGGAGTCGCTTTTGAGGCGAGGATTGGAGGTAATTATGTTAGTCCTATTCCTGTTGTCTCAGTTCATTGGTAAACACATTATCTGATTTCTGTTATGGTAGGTAATAAGGTTTGTCCTGATGCTAGATTGAGACATCTTTGTAGGTGTGTATGAGTTGAGACATCTTCATAGGTGTGTATAAATTAAGACATCTTTGTAGGTGTGTATAAGTTAAGACATCTTCATAGGTGTGTATAAATTAAGACATTTTCATTGGTGTGTGTAAGTTAAGACATCTTCACAGGTGTGTATAAATTAAGACATCTTTGTAGGCGTGCGTATCGTGGATGGGACAGTGACGGACATACAAGAAGCAACAGCTATTTCCCGCCACATCGATAAACTTGACGTGCTCAGCGCTTCTTGGGGACCGACAGACAACGGTGCCAAGGTAGAGGGTCCTGGCAAGCTAACTAAACAAGCATTCCTTAAGGGCATCGAAGAGGTAAGGAAAATCTCATAAAATAACGTGTTTATTCTAGTATTACAGTAAGCATCTACTAAATTACGACAAGGGGCACAGGAGATGAAAAGAGCTGATTGGTTGTTGACGATGGAGGGCGATTCATGTGTAGTGATTCTCTTGATAATTATTATACACACGAAATAGTTAACTGAATCAACCCGACGATGTATTTGACCAGTTCTTCATTTACTTACTAGTGTGAAAAATCAAACATAATGATATGGAAGTAGTGAAAGTCTTTGTCCCGATGGCAATAAGGTATAGAAGAGGTGTGGCTTCATGAGTTGGGCGGAGGAACGTAACCTTGAAGTGTGCAGGAATAAGATTACCCAGAGGAAGCGGTTGTCAGGTGAGAAGATAATGTTTTGGCTAGATGTTACGTTGGCAAGTGTTGTTTAATATAAGACACCAAGTATACAGAGATGGTGATGGATGATGCAATGGTGTGTTTGTTGATGTTATGATGTATGCAAACAACTAGAAATTATATTAAGCCTTCCTCTGGTTGCCTGGTGGTCACTGAAGTCTGGTGTGTGACTCGGAGAAACCAACGAGACACTAGCTTTTCACTGCTGTCATCTCGTCAATAGTGTAAAAATTTTACGTTTCCTCCATAGGGTCGAAGAGGGAGAGGCGTGGTGTATGTGTGGGCGTCTGGAAATGGCGGGTTGATGGGCGACAACTGTAACTTGGATGGCTACACGTCCTCCATATACACTCTGTCAGTGTCAGCTCTCACGGAAAAGGGCATCTCCCCATTCTATGGAGAGCCTTGTTCGTCAACCCTGGCATCTGTTTTTGTAGGTGGTGACCAGTTCCTTGAAGTTGCCAAGGAACGAAAACGACATAATGGCAAGCAACTGAGGGTGGTAAGCTATTCCAGTGCTTACGAGAAAAAGTGCTGTGGGATATTCAAGTTATCTAGTAGTTTGATTTAGTATCTCTTGTTAAATAACACACATACTCACTCACACACATGCTCACACACACACTCACTCACACACACACACACACACACACACACACACACACACACACACACACTCACTCACACACACACACACACACACACACACACACACACACACTCACACACACACACACACACTCACACACACACACACACACACACACACACACACACACACACACACACACACACACACCAATGTATGTAATAAGTCATTTATGTCCAATGTATATTTTTAGCCTTCGGGCTGCAGAATTTTTTCAATAAACCGTTAATTATTATTTTTTACACACACATGACTTAACTGTGCAAAGAATCTCTCACTTATTTTCCTAAAATGCTCTCCTCTCTGTTGTTTATTCAAGATTTGTCCTTTTCTCTATAAACCTCTCACTATAACAGTATTTTCTCTATATTAATCCAAGTTCTGTGAGCGTTACGACGGTGTTTCCTCGTCCTGACAGGTGGTGCCAGAGCTGGATGGACACTGTAGTGAATCATTCCAGGGGACGTCAGCTGCCGCTCCTCTTATGGCAGGGATCGTGGCACTTGTCCTTCAGGCTAAGTTAGTACCATACCCAGTCTCATGAACAGTTATCGTTGAAATGATGATATAGGCCGGGAAATGATATAGATAAGGGGTATTCACGTAAAAACAGAGCAATTTATTTCACTTCATATATTTTCATTATTTTATCTCGCCAGCCCGAACCTTACCTGGCGTGATGTACAACACCTGGTAGTAGCGACAACGACCCCTAGCGACGAAGCCCTGAAGGAGGAAGGATGGCAAACCAACGCTCGGGGCAAGAAGTTCAATCTGAGGCAGGTGAGTTGGACAGGTTAATTAAGCACCTGAGGATAGAACAAGAATGACAGGTATTATTAGTGTTCTGTTTCTTGATTCAGAGTTGATGATATTAATATGAAGGTCATTTTTTATATCAGTTGTGTTGTGCTTGTGGTGGTGTAGTTGTAGTGGTTGTAGTAAGAATAATGGAGAGTTGGTGAATGTGTGGCTGACTTCCTCCTCCTCCTGATGCTGTAGTGTGAATGTTATGAGACAAAGATGTTCACTGTGAGAGAGAACGTTCACCTCATCATTCTTACAGCTCCAGTAGACAACAGTGGAAACGTTTTCTTTAATAAATATTCTCTCTTTTTTTTTTAGGGTTTTGGAGCCGTAGATGCTGGCAAGATGGTTGAGGCTGCCACCAAATGGAGGAATGTTGGACCTCAGCAAACAGCTATACTTTTTATGCTTCATGGTTTTAGGTCTGTAGACTGTGTGGTGTATGATGTTACATAATATTAGAAGTTAACATCTATAGTCATATGATAAATAATGCCTTATAATTATTCTACACATTACAAAAATATTTAGTTGTGTTAAAGAATTTATTTCATGTTTTTGTTGACTAATTTTTTTTAGTATGAACTGAGTTAGATCATACCATGAATGTGTTTACTTCTTGTTACAGCAAGATATAAATTGAATAATTCTGTAGATCAGTGAATATATAAATAGACGTGTGTAAAGCAATGAACAGAAATTAGTATGGGGGTATGTGTGAGTGAGTTTACACACCTGCACACTCATGTCTCTCTGCAGGTGTAGAGGGAGAGTTGGGAGCATATATGGAGTACTGTAGGTGTGTGTTGTGGATACAGTTGGATATATGTATAGAAGGATAGAAAAATAAAGAGGATAGAGTAACACGAGGATAAGAATTAACATACCTGCAGTGTTAGAGGAGATATTGATGAATCTGTACCAGGTAAGAGTAATTAGGATTCATGACTTGTTTTGATGTTGAATGTTTACTTCCAGGAACATGCAACCTAACACTTGGCTTAACATCACAGAGAAATTGGATCTCTCTCGCGTTCCATCAGAAGTAAGAATGACTGGGGTAGAACACGTGGTCGCTAATGTCACTATCATTCACCCTCAGAGAAGCGGACTGGTGATCTTCATAGTGTCACCATCAGGTAAAATAGTAAATAGAATATAATCTATTGGTTCTTGCGTTTAGTCTTGTATAATTTGTTTCCGTAGTATGATAATTTTTAACTCGTAGGATGTTTGATGTAGGTTGGTAATGAAATGCTGTCATATCTCTCGTGGTAATAGATCTGGTCCTCTTGTTAGGGTCGAGTACTTAGAGCGTAAAGCACCAGAACCAACAGTAACACAACTTCCACAGACATGAGTTGATTTGTCTCTTCCTCCGCAGGTACTACATCGCAGTTGCTGACTCACCGTAGCAGCGACAAGAGCACTTTAGGCTTCACGTCCTGGGGTTTCATGTCTGTACACTTGTGGGGGGAAGAACCGGCAGGCACCTGGACTGTGGCCATCAAGGACAGCTCCGGAAAACCAGGCTACCTGAAGAAGGTCGAACTCACAGTTTATGGCTCTTGAGATATGTTAATCTGGTATTGTTAATTGTTGATAATTTTAATATAGTTTCATTTTTCTTGTGTGATTCATTGAAGGAAATACTCAGTTTTTCTGTTGTTCCTGATACCTGTGTGATAAGAGAAGTTTAAGATGTTTTGTGGTCACTGGTCTTCATAGCTAGACCTCCGACAGGCCTTGTTAAAAAGACCAGAAAGGGCATAGGTACAGTAACATCAAAAGCTAGCAACTGCCAAACTAAAATCTAATTATGACACATCATGACTAGTGCTTGAGGGGAGGGAAAACTTTGTCATTATTGTGATGTTTGTGGCAGTAGTTGTAGGAGGAACACCTCTACCGGGCCTCCCTGTGTCAAGGGCCTAATGCCTGTCAGTGAGGACTTCTGGGATGATGTAAGCGAATGTTTACAAACTGGTGTGGTGAACAGGTTCTCCCACAGTGTGGTGAACAGGTTCTCCCACAGTGTGGTGAACAGGTTCTCCCACAGTGTGGTGAACAGGTTCTCCCACAGTGTGGTGAACAGGTTCTCTCATAGTGTGGCAACTTGAGAAGTTTGTGAAAATGGATTCCGTAAACCTGACAGTCTGTTAGGGGAGGATACAACACACTGAATAATAAATCTACAGTAAGAGTTACCAATATCACTGTACCTGATGTTTTCACTTATCCAACTGCAAAATTAGGTACCAACTCACAGGAAGGTCATTTGAGGATACCCTGGGTGAGGTGACCTTTAGGACAAAGTGTGTGTTGTATCCACTAAACTATCATGCTACTAACAACTTTACTAACTATATTTGGTCCTCACTATTTGGTTGTTTTGATCTTGTATATCTTGCCTAACTTATATCTACTCATGATTGTTTCAATATCTTGCTATACTTTACCTAACTAACTTTATCTTGATTGAATAATAATTAATTCGATTTTCACCTCTTTTAAAAGTGACCTAACCTAAACTAACCTCTTTTAGAAATCATTATATTCTTCCTTAGTATCATAATACAGTATATAACAATTCAATCTCAAGACAATCTCTCTCTGATCTTTGTTATTTTTAAATTAATGTTATCTCTAAGAAATTTTATTATATTTATAATATTTATTGTCATTGTATTATTATTCCTTTCTTTTACTTGTTTTTTGCTTTTATTTTAGTATTAACCAACTAAACCTCTGTAGTGTACTTATAAGTAGTGAAGGAAGGGTAATGACTCGCAAACCTGTCAGGCGGTCTGTCAATTTACTATTACACACTGATAGTAAGTACTGTGTACAGGCACTAGTCACCTTACTAAGCATTTGGGAAGTCTGTTTGCTGTTACTTTATTTAGAGCTTTATTGTCCAGTGTTAGTACAGGATGAAACCGGAGTACCTGGAGAAGACCTACAGTGTTAGGTAAGGCTACACTCGCACCTTATATTAATGCATCCACAATAATACAAACATACCAAAAATCACCATTAAAAGTCACAAGTGCCAAGAATTTTTTTTATTCAAGTCATTCGGACAAATATTACACGAATAAATATCTGTCAGCCACGATAACTCAACAACTGAGAAATATACAGATTATTAATTTTTATCATGAACTAAAGAAGGCAACTGTGTGCTGAAAATCAATACGGTTTAATAATTTATTACACACGAAAAATTATGATGTTGTTTAGTTCATTTTGTCTTATAGTTTATATTTTTCTAAATTTTCCATAAAAGCGTCGTATAAAACTTTTAAATGTAAAATTGTACTTTTATGTTATATGTAAAGGTCAAACTTAATTTCCTTATAACTTTACACTTATTTATACTCACACAAATACAGCCACAGAAACACACACACACATGAAATTGGTTTAATATTCACCACAACATTAATTATCCACTAATCAAACGTCACTTCAGTATTCACAAAGTATCCACGACCTCACACACATCAAATATTATCTTTCATATGTCAAGTGACATTCAAGGTGTCAAGGGTCCTCTCTCACGCTCATAACACATGACTACCTCTCGGGAGATAAGAGACGGCGATCACCGGCCCTGAAAAATGTCAAATAAGATGTAAAAAGAACGAGGGATCATCTGAAGAACATCCACCACAGCTTATTTCACCTAAAGATTAACCACACTAACACTGTGCATGTACAGCCACAAACAGAGGTCCATTTAAATTCTTTTCCTTAACTACAGCACTGTTTATAGGTAGACAAACAATTAGGATACTTGTTCCAACAGTCCAGAGTCACAGGAGAGTAAACAAAGTACAGTACTGTACCTGTATTGTTGCCGGGCTGTCCCCAAGAGGGTATATAAGGAGTGAGACGACCAGTACCTCGTCAGTCTCCTCCAGTCTCACTCTGTGTAAGGTAGGTGGAACCTCATATCCTCCATACACACACACACACAAAACCTAACACACACACACACACACGGCTAAATAATTTAGAAGTTATTGGAGAATATGAATTATTTTGTTTATATTTTTTAGAATATATTAGCCAAGTTGTCAGTTGAGGTGTTGGTAGCAGCCTTGTTATGTTACCTGGCTGGTGTAGAGGTAAGTCACCTGACCACCAATAACTAGCTAGATGGTTCCTTCATTAATAAGTCCTTGACATATTTATATTAGAAGATATTCATTTAATATACGTAAGTCAATCATTCATTCACTTTATTAATTTGTCCCACAAGTGAATTTCTGTCCTTGTCCGTCTGTTTGTTTACCCTCGCCAATAATGAGTTGAATCATATCTTAGACAAATCAGCTTCAACATTAACCAATTGTTATGGATGACCTATGTTTGGAGAGGTCAAGATCTAAGGTCACACCGTTTACTATAAGTGAAACAAAGATCATATAAGAATTGTATTTATTGCATTAGATTCCTTAACAACACCATGAGGGTGGTGGGGTATCCCAATCCATTGCCCATAACATGACTGGGGTGAGGTTGACCTTCTCAGATTGCCTTGTTCTTTTTTGTTTTCCACAGGACCACCTCTGAGAACACCAGCAGTCGTCTACGTCACAGAGGGAGATGATTGGTGGGGATGGGAGGAGTCTACAACCTTCCTCTGTGCTGTGTGTCTTACTGCTGGCTGGTGGGTGGAGTGTCTGTATGTGTGTTGGTAGTCTTATTGTTTTGCTGTACTTCATTGATCCTGTCTTTGGGAGGGGAGGGGTGGTGGGGGGGTTGAATCACACTAAAAGATCTCTTAACAGGATCATCAATATCTCATTCCAAGAATGACAATCATCTTCTTTTCTGATTCAGTTTATTGCATGGTTCTCTTCAGGTGTTGTGTGTACGGCTTCGGGCTCTCTCTACCAACACCTACACCAGCACAGTTACCAACAGAGACACCGGGGAGGCTCATCAGCAACTTGTACCTTAAACTCTCAACTGGTGGCAGCGACGATAGTAGTAGCAACCACGTCTCACCCCACACATCTCCACCTCGTCTTCCAGGACATGCCGGGTCAGAGTGAGGGTTTGGTGGAGGGAGGGTTGAGGAGGATGACATGAAGAGTGTGGGGGGGATTGATGGCCTGTGGGTAGAGGTGGGAGGACAGGGAAGAGTAGAGAAAGGATCCACTAATAGGGGAATGATTTAAGGTCTCGTAAGTACTACAGGTGTGTGTGTGTCTTTACCCATGTGTGTGTTACTACATTATCTCATCTTTGTGTGTTGTGCTGCAGATTCATGCCTGGTAGGGGCGCTGTGGGACGTTGGTGTGGGCGTAAAGCTGATGGAGATACGGGAGTGGAGGGAGAGCCTGTCTCAATTATCGTACTTGGCCTCCTCACAGCACCTCCTCGTGGGAAACTTGACCTGGCTCACCCACATCATGCGACAGGTAGGGAGAGAGAGAGAGTAAGTGAAGGACAGAGTGTGGTAAGAAAGGAAGAGCAAGAAAGAAAAAGAAAGTAAGAGATAAAGAAAACAAAAGAGAGAGATAGAGAAACAAAGAAAGGAGGAGAGAGAGAGAGAGAGGGGTCTTAGGTCCATAAATAATTCAGAGTTATCTACCGCGTCATTGAGCGGTACATACCATTATCATCAATAAAGTGGCACTCAGTTGCACAACACAGCCAATAAGTCATTCATAATCTCAAAAGGGAAAATAGATAAGTGAAAAATATCAACAACCCGATATTGTGTTGTGTGAAGTTATACCACAATACCCTCATGGCAATTTTCTTTAAGATTATAGAAAACGCTGAAATAAATTTGGTACGGAACTAAAATAATTATAGACTTGTGTTTATGATGTGAAACTTGTCATTGATATGTTTAATAATGGTTGATAAGACTTATTTATCATCACCACAATGTCCTCAATAACAGCTGTAGACTGCCAGACTTACTTCACATCTGTCAAGTGTGTCAGGTGTCATACTAATCCTCTTCTATATTCTTCAGGTACATCCACTGTATAGCTTTTCCAAGATCAATGCTCTGGTAAGTATTACAAATTTAAACTACCATAGGTCACAATATACACTACAGTACTACCATATACCACTACAGTACTATGAAACACTTCCATAGAACACTACTGTACCATATACCATTACCATAGATCACTACTGTACCATAGAACACTCCCATAAATCACTCCTGTACCATATACCACTACCATAGATCACTACTGTACCATATACCACTACCATAGATCACTACTGTACCATATACCACTACCATAGATCACTACTGTACCATATACCACTACCATAGATCACTACTGTACCATATAACAGTACCATAGATAACTAGCATTCACAACTCCAGTACCATGAAACACTATCATACATCACGACCATACGCCACTACTCTGAAACACCATACATCACTACACCATCATAGACTCCTACCATGAAATATTATACTTGCACGGTACCCTCCTAAAAAAAACTGGTTTGCAAGTGTGAATTATACTATAACTTATATAAACATTGTAAAATATAAATATAATAGATAAACCTAATTCTCAGTCTCTCCCAAAGAAAACGCATTGGCTCTGGGTGGCAACAGATGTAAAGGAAACTCTGGTATATCCTCCATCTTACACTTCTTCACCATCGTCTGTTTTCTCGGAGGCATTGCTGGATGTCTCTGATGCTCTTGTGGAGGGCGTGAGAGGCCTCCTGATAGCTACGTCCTCCAGGAACCGATTGAGTGGAGATCCTTCAGTCATTCTGCCGGAAGGTTTACAAACAGAATTCCTAGATACGTAAGTAAACGAAAGGTCGCCATCATCTATGTTTTCTTCAGTAGGTCACGAGTCCATGTAACCAGTGAGATAAATAGGAAACCTAACCTAACCCATACTCCAGCTTCAGGGTATGTAAGAATGTTACACAGGGTGGTAAAACATGTTCCTGGTGTCACTGAATTCATATATTAAGGTGACTGAGGTACAGGTGCTGGTGGAAGTCAGTGAGAGTGCAGATGTTCGTACAGGTGGGTGAGTTTACCTGTGTCATTGCAGGTGGGTGATGATTGGCGGCGTGGATGCTCCGGGTGACGGGTCATGGCGAATGAGGTTGACTGCCACCATGACCAGCAGTGGTCTGAAGGTCTTTTCACCACTCTGGCCAGACCCGCCCACCAACTTCCACTTACGACCCTTCAGGATTGCCTGCATCAAGGTGAGAACTAGACAAAGTTATAGTGTGTTTATTATTCTTCCAGTGTTGTTTGACGTGGTGATGATGACGCAGCTGCCTTCAGTGACTCCGACAGCCTTGGGATATACTCACATTGGTGGCTCTACATTTAAGTTTGTTTTTTATTTTGAATCCCAGATACCTTGTATGTTCCTAAATAAATGCTTACTTCACTACGTCATATATACATCTGCCATGCAGCTCCTCACCTCTTCTTCGCTCTCCAGAAACCTAAAGTGTTCGAGTTCGATGACGGGGATAGCCTGGAGGACGCTGGAGGATACATAGTGGAGATGATGCACGTCCTCCGCCAACACTTCAACTTCTCTGGCCTCCTCGTGCCCACAGAGGGTTTTGGCCTTCTCATGCCCAATGGCTCCTGGAACGGCATGGTCGGGGTGCTACAGCGTAGGGTGAGTACTGTATACACCCAACACTGTGTGAAGTATAAGAATTCCTCGTATTCTGATGTATCCTGAAAGAGCATGTGGTCGTGTAGTGTTGTAGAGTGTTCCAGACATTACCAGTGAATTTTGCAGTGTGGAGTGGGGTACACATCTGACAGTGAGACCTGGATTGATATAATTAAAGTGCTGCTAAAGTGATAAGTGTTCCAGTTCCCTTGACAGCATACACAGAAATTGGTTATGAATTATATGACTGGTAGATCCTGGTACTAAAAGGATACTGGAACTGCAAATAAGTGTAAATACTGTACATCCATTCTTTGGTGAGGACCATTAAAGGTGGGTGTGATGAATAGCTTACTGAGAACTAATATCTGTAACAACCTACAATGTTTTTAACCTTAAACTGCACCAGTACAAACACTCAACACCATTTGTCTATTTCATATTAACACACTTGTGAAGGTCATGGGCTCATGGCAAACGAATATTCCACTCATTTCCTGGTTATAAGGTGATCTATTTATGATAAGAACATTGTATATTATCAGAAAATCAGTTAATCTTGCTTTCATGACCTTGGTAGGAGGCAGACATGGCAGCCCTGGACTTCACACCGAGCTGGGCGAGGACGGCGGTGGTAGACTTCAGCCTTCCCATTGGTGAGGACATAGTCGTCATCATCTCCAGAGCTCCGTCAGTAATCATCAGGCCCTTCCTCCTCCTCCAGATCTTCTCTCCTTTTGTTAGTAGTAGTGTTGTTAGTTATTAGGGGTTGTGGGGAAGTCAGGGCAAAGGGTGAGGGCAGTATGGGTCAAGAGGTAATATTAGTTTAGGGGTAATCAGGACCTAGTAGTGGTCAGGTCTATGGGACATTAAGGGCTCGGGAAAAGGACAGTCTGGTTTATGTCTGACTTTATATACGTGATCACTTAAACGATCTCTGGATAGATTTCGTTGTTTATTTTACCTCTTAGGTGTGGGCGTGCATCATAGGCATGGCATTGATGGTGGGCGTGGTGCTGGGTGTGGTGACCTGGGCGGAGGGTGCTCTCTCCTCCTCGGCTGCTCACGCCCGCCTCCATGTTGGTATTATGGAACACACAACCAATGTTCTTAAGATACACATTGCTCAAGGTCATGTATCTGCCACACTTAATGTTTCTCAGTGTTGATTCTTGTTGTCTTATATGTTAAGGTAAATGTGTCAAGTGTTCATCATAATGTTGTATATTATGCTAGTGTAGACCATAACAGTGTCCACCTACTACATCATAAGAGAGTAATATCATGTGAAAAAAAACCAGACAATTATCACATGGAGCATTACATAAGTAGTACAGGATTGTCACACTTGTAAGAGGCTAACATGTAGTGGATGTTGGTATAACAGGCAGTAGGTGGTGGCCGCGGGGAACTGGCGGGCGTGTGGGGGCGGGGGTGGTCATCCTGGTGGCGCTGGTCATTGCCTCACTCTACAGCGGCTCCATCACCGCCTTCCTCGCTATACCCTTCAGGTATTCTCGCTGGGGCTGAGGGCCTCCTTGGTTGTCCTTTGTCACCTAAGTTTATACTCGGTCACGTAGGTCTCCCTAAGGTCATTTAGGTTCCTTTGGGTCACCTTTTCTCACAGTGGTTCACCTTGGTAACTCGGTGCTCACCTTGACTACTCTAGGCTTTAAGTGGCCCACCTACTCTGCTCTCATCTTTAGGATTTTGAAGATACTTTTGTTCTCCTGGGCTCATGTATGCTCCATGAACTTAATTATGTTCTTCATGGGTACAAGTGGGTTTCCCTGACCTCTAATGGGTTCTCTGGGGTTCAATTAGACCTTCCCTGACCCCAAATTGGTTCTCTGTGGTTCAATTAGAACTATTTAGGGTCAAATAGGCTCCCCTTGTGCTCAAATAGACTCCTTACTGCAGGTCGCCGCCGCTGGACTCGGTGGAGGACCTGGTGAGAAGTGAAGTACGGCCAGCCCTGAGGAGCCGCACCCTTGTGTACCAGACCTTAGTGTGTGCCATTATCTTTGTTCTGATACAATTACACCTACGATTTTGTGGTCTTAGTAACAATCACACACACATAACAAATGTCTTGATATTAACAAGCTTTTTCTTTTAAGAACTAATGTACAGTTTCAACCCTTGATGATTATTAACAAGTGTACAGTCAGATATTTATTAAATAATCTATAAATATTTTCTTATTTATTACTTTGTTTTTGTTTATGGTCACAGACAGCTGATGGTGGGGCGCTGGCAGGAGTGAGGGGTCGTGTGGGTGTGTTTACAGATGCCCAAACCTCATCTTGGGAGTTCTTCAGTACAGTAGCTGACGGCACCTTCGCTCTCGTCGGTAACAGATAGCGCCCCATCCCCACTGCCACCCATCCCTCCCTCTCCTCTCACCCCACCCCCCACACAGCCCCTCACCCATCATCACTCACCTACCTAGCTCATCCAACATTCATACTTGTCTATGATAATGCCCTCATTATTATATAGTACTCCCTTGTCACTATGGCTCACTCTTCATAACTCTGTCATTATTACTCACTTGTCACATTCCTGTCATTATTTACATGTGTCAGCTTTGTTATTTATTTTCTAGCCAACTGTGACACGTTTTCACTTTATTTATACAGTGAAACCTCTATTTAACGGACTATATGGAGAGGAAAGTCCGTTATATCCCCCCTCTCTCATCTAAATGATTACATGTAGATTTCACTGTTTGGTAATTATTTTGCCTGTCCATCCTTTGTCGTAATATGCAATTTTATTTTTATGATGACCATAATGAATATACTGTACACATGTTTTATACCATCATCATTCAGTACCACCACCACCACCTCTCACCCATCCTCATTCACTGCCACCACCACTCACCCATCATCATTCACCACCACCACCACTCACCCATCATCATTCACTGCCACCACCTCTCACCCATCATCATTCACCACCACCACCTCTCACCCATCATCATTCACTGCCACCACCTCTCACCCATCATCATTCACTGCCACCACCTCTCACCCATCATCATTCACTGCCACCACTTCTCACCCATCATCATTCACTACCACCACCTCTCACCCATCATCATTCACCACCACCACCTCTCACCCATCATCATTCACTGCCACCACCTCTCACCCATCATCATTCACTGCCACCACCTCTCACCCATCATCATTCACTGCCACCACCTCTCACCCATCATCATTCACTACCACCACCTCTCACCCATCATCACACCCTAACAGACGTGTACAGTTCGGCAGTAGGTCGGGCCAACAGGTTTGAGCGCCGGGGGGACCAGTGCAAGTTCTACCTAGGGAAGGTGCCTGTCAAGGTCGACCTAGATGTCTTCGCCTTTGCCAAGAACAGTCCCATCTTATACCAGTTTAACCAAGCGTGAGTACTGGGCCCTGAGCCTACCACGAGATTATATATTGACTTTCAAGAGATGGGGGGGTCAGGAGATGGAGTATATCTTTGATTATATCAGGTTTACAACAATGGATGTCCACCGTATGCAATGCTACATATGCCCTTTGCAAAATCAGGTGTTCATAGTGAGGTAAACAACAGCAAACATGTCATAATAGTGGATTATGACATTTATGAATGGTGCAACATGAGGTGTGGAATATTAGTTCTGCAACATGATGTACTCAACATGTGTGCTGTAGGATCCTTGGACTGCTGCAGCATGGGGTCATCCAACACATCAAGAGGAAGTATTATTCAGTAGCTTGTGAAGCAGAGGTGACCTCCCGAGGACCCCAACCAATGAACCTTATACAGGTACACACACACACACACACACAGAAAACTAGACATGATTATCATATTGTAACAATGAACGTATGAACATCAATAATAAAATAATAGAATAGTGGTGATTAAGATAATTCCAA